AGCATTGCCGTTGATCAATCCCTTTTGGGATGCGGCACGCATTCTACTTCCATTTGTACATTCGTAGTGGCGTTTGAATGCGATGTGGCCTATACAATGACTTGCGGGGGCCAGCCGATGTACAAGTCAGTGTTTTTTATCCTCCCAGACAAGTCTGGTACCAATTAATGAAGGCTTGGGTTGGCCCGGGCGACTCTCGACCCAGGATTTGATCCCCGGACCGCCTCTGTAAAGTCCACTGCCTACGCAGCACACCCCACTCTCCGCCTCAACTCAGATAACATGTTTCACCTTATTCTTTAGATAATGCAAATTTCTCTATTTGAACGAATCAAGAGAATTTGGTAAATAAAAATATTGAAATGATAATGGGTTCTTCAATTTTATTGTTAGCTTTGTAAGGGCTATACACATATTTTTCCAGGGCTTAATTGCGCTGATGATTCCGACAAGCATGGGCATGATCCTCGCTAACTATCGCCCTCAATACATCCCATGCGTTCATAAATGGATCAAGGTAAAAATTTTTGGAATCTGGTGGACTTTTATCTACTATTTTTCCACTTCTTCGGCTTGGCTTACCACAACTGCACGTGTATCACACGAGGTCATGGCGGAATAGATCAACACTGTCGAAATCGTAAAGTATTTGACCTCGACTGTTTTTGGACATATCCCTTTTTATCTCTATTCTCTTCACTTTTCTCTTTTTCTGAATGTTTCACGCATTCTACTGCCGCTACTCGACTGGAGGCCCGTCGTGCGGCGAGAAGGCAGAGACGCAGACGGGTCGGCGGACGAGTTGCAGCGCGTATTGTGCGATGTGGGACGTACTGTAGTACATTCTATTTAACTTGACGCTAAATCGCTACAGTACGCGCTGCGACTCGTCCGCTGACCCGTCTGCGTCTCTGCCTTCTTGCCTGCGCGACGGACCTCCTGTCGGGTACCCCTACCATTGCTCTTTTTCCGCTCTAATTAGGAGCTGTTTCGAGACTATCTCTGATTTTTACAGAGAGTTTCCTGGGCTGCAATGATAGTGATTTCGTTATTCGCGATTTACGCCAACTATTACATCTTCTGGCTGATCACATGGCCAATTGTTCTCTGCGGTTGCGCACTACCTTGGCTTGGGTAAGTCAACATCAATTTTTATTTAGTATTTTGCCTTGAGCTATTCCCGCTTATTCTATTCCCAATTATACTCAACTAGTTTCTCAAAGGCCCATACAATTACATTTCGCAGCGAAGCCTCACCCATTCCCTTGTGGTAGTGAGTCTAAAAAATAAATACCCACGCCAGTTTTGGTGCGCTCGATGCTATGTGATGCCACCTTACGTTGCTGAGTATAATTTGGTGTGTAAAAGCCACATGATTTAACCTTTATTGAAACTATTTACGAATGTTTCACAAGAATGCTGGGTTGTGAACAAAACTTTCGCCCCAGGCGGGACTAGAACCCGCACCTCTCGCTTTCCGGGCAAGTGCGCTACCAGTTACGCTACCGGGGCACCATTTCATTCCAACTCAGCTTTTCATGGTATACGTACCATAGCTTTCAGCACTCACACGTTAACCGGTTGATCCGGTATCGGCAATGACTAATTTCTCCTCAAAATGTAGAGCGATTCGATGTTCATCTTGATCGGTTCTATAATGACACAGTCTCAAAACGTTCGAGTTATATTTAGGGCAGTATTGCAAGGTAGCGCACCATGGTAAATCAATCTGACGCCATTTGGAACGAATTGAGGCGGAGAGGCGAGATTGCAGGGTGCACGAATTTCCATTTTTCCCAATATTGCTGTCCTTTATTAGGCTTAGTAATGGAGGGCGCTCCCTTATGTTGCGATAGCCCCCATAATTGTACTCTTCCAGATATCTCACTGCTTTCGTGGTAGCTACTACGCTTCGCCAGCAATTCAAAGATGCCCTTACGATAGCAATCGAGACGGGAATTCAAAACATCGGTAACTTTATATTACCTCTTTCTGTATTGACTGTAATCTCTGCTTTTTGTAATTTTACCCGGTAACCGGAAGAACCTTCTCTTTATCTCAACTGCTGCCTAGCTGATTCTCTCAGTTAACGTTCTGTGTTTCCTAATTTTGGTGATGCTCAGATGTGAATTAGTGTAGCGCACCTAAGCGTGCAATAAATAAAAAAGTATAATATGAATGAATTTCATTTCGTATTGGGCGCGAATTCTGGAACAATGACAGCTGAAGACATTTGAACCATCAAATCCCCAAAAGCCATTCAACGGTAGCTCGTTGCCTAGGTGGTTGTAAGCTAACGGATGTCACGTTTAAGCAGATAAATAAACTCTCTTGGCTTGTCGTGATGCCTTTCTATCGCCGACTCACACGATTGGCCTTCCAAAGCGACAAAAACAAGGGAGCGGTATTCCCGAATTCAGTTCTCGCGTCACAGACGTCCATTAGCCGAATTATGAATTTGAAGTTTGGCTCTACCCATAGCAGTTCAAGCTCCGCCTAGCAACGCCATTTGGCCACACTGCTTACCTACTTCAATCCACTTATCTCCGATTCTTGATGATGAAATCCCTAACACTGAATGCCCAAACGAGTTTTCCGGATATGCCAGCCGTTCCATCGGTTGATACGGCAATCAACCTAGCTGATCTCACACGTTAGGCCAGCCACGCACCACATCCCGCGGTGGGCGGGACCAGCTGATGTAACGAACCCATCGCTGTAAGTAGTAGGCCAGAGCCTTGACGCGCGTCATCTCGAGGGCCATCACTACTCTATGAGCGCATTCCTGGAAATATCGGTGATGGAAAGGCCTTCTATGGTCACCTAATCCTGACTCGTGGCTTTAAGAATCATGCTCCGATTCCAGCACTTAGCAGTTTCACCTGTTGCTACAACATCTGACACTTCGAGGCTCATTCATAATCCGTATTGAGCCCCAGATGACCTTTTTTAGGCCGACGTCATAGTTTGCGAATCGCCGAGCGTTGCGCCAGCGAATCGAACGTTGCACCAGCGAATCGAACTTTGTACCAGCGAGTCGAACTAGGTACCAGCGACTCAATAGTGGCGGGACCCAACGTTCAAAGGAAGCCCGCACTTTCAAACAGTGTCACGTGACAGTGGACTGTTTGAAAGTGGCGGGCTTTCCTTTAAACGTTGGGTCCCGCCACTATTGAGTCGCTGGTACCTAGTTCGACTCGCTGGTACATCGTTCGACTCGCTGGTGCAAAGTTCGATTCGCTGGCGCAACGCTCGGATCGAGCGATTCGCTAGCGAATCGCTCGATTCGCAAACTATGACATCAGCTTTTATCATTCTGAGTTCCTTGTGTGCAGTTCCTCCTGTGTGTGTGTTACATCGCTCGCGTAGTTCCCAGTATTAAACGTGGGCCATCCCAAACATCGAAAGTGGAATTGAAATCTTTCCTGTACCTCTGCTGTCACTTTGTGATTCCAGGTATCGCAATGTTGCTAATGGTGTGGTGCCTTCCCGAACCGGAGTCGGACATCGCCGTCACGATCATCTTTGTCACGGCCATCATGACTGATAAGCCTTTGGTTATTATATGGCTGATTTCAAGGATCTACAAAAAATGCTGCAAAGGGGACACAGTAAAACAGGTACAAGCAATCGATCCTTCTGATTTCCTTTCCATAGCTTACAATCTTTTCGATGGCGAGCCCAAAAAACTCGATAACAGCTGAAATCAACGTCATTTGGGACTGGCTATCAAGAAAGAATATGAATGTTATTACAGCACCTTCAAAGAGGTTTTCTGGGCCGAATTAATCGGAATTGTTAAGGTGGATAGTGATTTGGAGACGAAGAAAGTAGGCGACATGTCATCAGTAACAATCAGCACCCAGCTGTCTGACTCATTGGAACCTGAGCCGTTCAAAAGAAAACCCAGTCATGAAATGAAGCACTGGTAGTCTAAGTCATGCAAGTGGGTGATTCTTTCATATGGGCTTATTTTTTATTCTTCTGATAAATTTTTTGAATTATCTAGCTAAGTTCAACCTCAACGGCATCGAACCCAAATGTTTTCCATTTCAGAAAATCACAGAGTGTAGCGGTCTTCATGGAAAGCTCCACTCTATACTGTTTCAGCTGGATGGATGTGGTCACAAACAAAGAGTGATGTTCACAAATATATTCTATCGATGCATTTGTTGTTCCTGTCGGGTTTTTAATAAATACTTAATTTTGGACCAGTGTTCTGTTAGCTCTGTGCATCTACCCTTTATTTCGGAAACGGAAGAGCGTCGAGTGCAGACCACACACCACAAGTGACGACGGCCAAGAAAAAGGAAAAAAGCCACTTTTTTCTTGGCCGTCGTCACTTGTGGTGTGTGGTCTGCACTCGACGCTCTTCCCGTCTCCCGAAATAAAGGGTACTAAGGTTAAGATTTAGGAAGGTAACGAATTTTAACTGACTGACACTTTGACGTCGAATTCACATCATGTCGAAAGCTGAGCTAGGGTTCTAGGACTGTGCCGGAAAAGGGCGCATTTTGAAAGTAAGAATGAATGTAAGAAATAACGAATGCTAATCAAGTACACTATTGGAATTAGCGGAACTGTTCTGCGAAGGAGGCACGGAGAGGGCCTCCTTCCATCCTTAGCCTCCAGTCCAGGGTGGCTGAAGTGAAGGGGCGCTCACAGGATTTCCTCCCCTTTGTGGGGGAGAGAAAACCTCACCTGGCGGCGCGGACGCGAGCGCGTGCTGGTGACGTCAAAATGGCGGCAGGCTCGAAGAACGAGCAAGCAGTGGCTAACACCGCTACCAGGAATAAAGCTGTGTTTCTGACAGTATACCAACTTGTTCAATCAACTGTGCCTCAAACGAAAGAGATCGTGTTATGCACAGGTACCATTTCACAAGAGGAACTGGAATTTTGAACATGTAGGAGAAATGGAGGCCTTCGTGTGCAAACCGTTAGGAGTCAAACTGAAGTTGATTAAACCAAGTCTGTTGTTCGAGTTCGATTCCTACTTACTTCTACTAATTACACAGTGAATAAGAGTACGATAGATGCTCGGAGTACTTAAAGTATTGAAGTATTGGTGGCAGAGCTGGCCCTTGCTCGCTCCCTCGCCGCCGCTGTGACGTCACCAACACGCGAACGCGTCCGCGCCGCCGGTGAGCTTTTCCATGGAGCCCTCCTTTGTACTGTAATAATTATGACAGTGCCGAGATACTACGACGAAAGAAGCTGGAGTTTGCTGAGCGAATTTTCGCGCATCTTTTTTCCATGAACAATTCTCTTCGAGCCTTGATATGTTTTGCGACGCTACCACAAGATACAGGGACATTGTGGCAGCAATGCATTTAAACCGCGTAAGGCATTCGTCGAAATCAGGACTAAGCCTAAGGCGGGCAGGCGAGACCCCAGGGTGCATGAGCAGCTTTCATTTTCCTCCACATTTCTGTTCCCTCCATGGTGTTTCTGGATGATGCCCCCCATTTTACGATAGCGCCTATTTTGCCCTTACAGGAAGTGCTTCCAAATACTCGGAATTGATTCAGGAAAAAAATTCCGAGGTGGTCTTGAGGCTTCTTAGAGAATAATGCCCTATAAGAAACCGTTTCGGGGAACATTCTGAACCTACTGTATACGGGTTCCACATGTTCAGATCACAGTGGTTTGATTTGATTCAATCAATCAATCAATCATCACAGTGGTTGTAATAAAGTGCCTGAAAATTTTGACTGAAGGCCCATGCGGATGGCGCTCATTAGATTCGACGTATTTATTGGTGGTTTAACTGTGGTGCGTTTCAAAGTATGGTGGTACCTCAAAATTTCCTCAAAAAGTAACCAAAGAGGATTGTGTGCCATGGAACCCTCAATCGATTCAAGGTCGATAACGTGATCGGTGAAAGCAGCTAACATCGCCTTACTTTTACGCAAAGAATTTTTTTGAGGTTGGAATTCTTTTCTTGTTTTATCAGATTTTGGCGCCGAATTTTCCACCGATTTCAATCCGACTTTGCTGTTTTCATTTCGTCATCATGTCATACTTCTTCCTGAAGATGAGCAAGCTCAGATCAAGGTTCTGCATGATAATGAACGTTCCAATCTAGAAATCGCACGATAACTTGGTCGTTCTCCTTAATGCATTGGAAGATTTATCCGGCACCCTGATAATTATACTCAGCACACACTCCGCTCCATCCACGATCCTTGACTGCTCAGAACAACAAAAGAGTAGCCCACATCCTGTCGAATTCTTCATTGACAGTCCGAGCTCAGATTTTTATTCCAGCCTCGAAAATGACCACTAAGCCTCATCCGCTCAAATGAATACACCACTCGACAGACGCTGAGAAAGGCTACTCACTTCAAGGCCCAGCACAAGTTAGCCACATTGGAGTCTGCTCGTACAGACATGGCAACATAGGATAGGACACCGGGCGAAGACACGGTTTTTCGAGAATTTCCTATTTTCAAAACAAGCAACTTTTTATGGACTTTCTCTCCTCAGGTAATCTTAACTCATGGAAAGAGTTCGATCTTGACGGGCCGGGTGGATTTTGCTACTACTGGAGAGGCTTGGCCGTGAGTCGCTCGTGCTCTCGAGAAGGAATTTCGGAGGCCCGTTGATGGGTCTGCGGCGGTTTCGCAATCAGCGGAAATTTGGAAGTTGCCGTTCCATTATTGCGTATGAACTGTAAAGAATACCAAGCAGTGCTCCAATGTCACCTGTTGCCTTTTCTTAGGAGCGGAGCGAAAATTGCATTTTTAGCAACAGGACCACGTGTCTTTCGATGCTTCGCAATCTACCAAAGAATGGCCTTAACCAAATGGTGCTGAAGCGATAGATTGGCTTGTGTGTCCTCCTTACTGCAACCCTATAGGGAGCCCTTGATCAAGGCGTTAACTTTAGCAACCGGCAGTATAATACCGCGGATGAACTGAAGGCGGCGGTAGAGGCTATTTGGGCCGACAGCGACGAAACAGCTATGCCAAACGTGGTTCAGATTATGCCGGACAGGATGTTTGAGCTAATTAGAAACTCTGGAGGCCCCACTGATTTCTAATCTCAGCTATGTTTTTGTCTTTTGTTAAGTGTGCACATACTTTTGAAACAAAGAAAAAAATTTCATCCAAAATTTTTTTTCGAAAGTGAGGCGATATTATCTGCTTTGCTACCATTGACGTATCACAGTTACTACGCCACTGATAGGTTATCGACTACGAGAATCGACTGAGGAGGAATTCATAGCGCGAAGCCCCATACATAGTTGCCCTTTCAACACGAATTTTGAGGGTGTTCGCACACTTTTGAAACGCGAGAGCTCGATGATCCTACACATACATATTCACACTACATTCGTCCTATTCAGGTGCGCCCCTCATTGTGAATGCGTCTGAATTTCAATTATTGCTTCCGTGTTCTAACACCCTGTGGGCTCGATGAGAACCTATTCATTTCGTGGCACATTTCATAAACCTGTCAAAAAGCCAGGAGTCCTTATCTATACTATATGATTGTACGAGGTAAGTCCAGATGGTATAGTTTGCAAGAGCAGATCGATGGAGTATGAATGACCCTTGAAAAGTAATGAACTCACTAAAACATGCGATAATTTACTTAATGTTCATAGTATATTGCCAGACTACAGGATCATGTTTATCCAAAGTACACTCAGCAATGCAGCAACGAACCTCAATAATGGCGATGTCGTATCCCGAGAATATGCCGAAGTGAGGAACCTGGGAATGAGGGTGTCTGGCAGCAGAAGGTGACAGGCCTGAGGCTGGCGGAGTAGTCGTCCGATCCGCAGCGTTGTCGGCGGGGGTCCGTCCTCCGTGGTGCGTCCTCGTCCTCTCTCCCAGAAGCCTCGCTGCATGGTCTCTTGTACGGCTCCGCCTCCTGTAATCAGCAGTCGTGATCAGAGCATTGAGGAGAAAAGCCAACCCCAAGTTAGATATTGATTGTTTAGCTCACCCCATGCCACGCACAGCTCTTACAATTTCAAAGATTCAGTTCTTCCATAGCGAACCTTTGCACCACCTGATCGGTACAAAATGTAAGTAATGGTACAGTGAATGTGCGCACACTAGGTCACTGAAATTTCTGGCGGGTAAGTACGAAAAAGCTGGCAACGCTCTCGACCAGTATAGCCCCCTTAATCGCATTTTCCACCGTGATGTTATGACGGCCGCACTGCGTGTGTAGCACTGGTGAATACCCCCCATGGAGAGAACCACCTCATAGACAGATCACGATAGCTAGAGGGTGGTGCGGTCTTGAAATGAATATCATTGGTTAAAGTGTGTAAATAGGCTCGGCCATGCACTCTGACCGAGGGTGTTGAGGGAGGCTCTTCAGCCCGTTACACTTTCGTTGGTAATTTTGTCGCAGAAGTTCTCAAAGGTGTTACTCTACTGATCGACTGAAAAGGGTTATAACGGCGA